ACCATCTTATATATACCAGGCTACCCCCAATCTAGTAGTCTCCCGATAATTCACGAAGGTTCGAGAGAAGGACGTGGCGTGACCTCGCTGACGCAACAATACTCATCATCGTATATTAGATTTTGGAGAGGTCATCTCGTAGGCTCAAGAGAGGATTGCCACCCTTAATGTTAGCTATCAGATGTACCAAATGTTGCATACTATATAATGTACATGTTTCTTTACATAAACAGGTGTTGTTAAGATGGTTTCTTCACAGAAACGGGTATCGTTCGTTTAATTTATCCCTACAAATAATATTTTCTTAACACGCACTGGTATTCTTTGTTAAATCTATATTTACATAACGAAGGGTCTCTTTCTTTTTGGACTACACACTGAGTAAGTGAATCCAGGAAATCTAGTAAAAAATTACGAAATAATTTAAATTATACGCTAAATAATATTGAATCGTTCCTCACAATACAATATTCAGAACATAATTAAAAACGACTGTACGTAAGCTCTATGATAGTCAGGTTTTGTAGTACTACTAGACGAATGTCCCATTATGAAAGTACCTTTTTTTTTCTTGCTGAATAAGGTCGCAATATATTTATTGGATATCTATAAAAGCTACTTAACGTAATTCAGGAGGAATAGAAATAAGTTACATTTCGAACAACGGTACGTCATCTTGAACCATTTGTTAAGAGAGTAGCTCGTGAGAGTCCATGTTTATTAATTAGCCGCAGCAGGTCGCTTCAAAAAACGCCTAGGCCTAAGGAACAAGTTATATATTTCCGAAGCTTCTCTATAGATTTTATACCTTTCTACAAATTTTATCATTGGTCGAAACATACGAATCAGCTTGCAATGAATATTTTAAAGAAATATAGTTCTGATCACATTCCATTTGTTAATGCATGGTTTCTGATGAAGAATGTGAACTGATAACCAGGCCAGAGGGGGCGTGAGCCTACGATTTTGAGGGGGCCTACTTGCTTGATTTTTGTTATGTAATTGATGAATTTGCCCAAAGAAAAGCACGGAAAGCATTTTTGAATGTGAAATTCCAAATACATAATAAACATGAATGTACTATTATATTTACTGCTTCTTATTGCAGTACTGTACTCTATTGTCTTATATACATTTTGAATAAAATTACTTGCCATTACTTTTTTATAAATCGTTCTAGTTTTCTTATTCGTTTCTGTTACTTGTAAGTACATCATGTAAACTACATGTACATGTATATACCCATACATAAATCATATGTATTTAGTACTGATTACAAAAATACTTAATGAGCAGTTTGAAATGGGGCCTACATTTGGCGGTGGGTGGTGATGACTAGCTGCCTTCCCTCTAGTCTTACACTGCTAAATTAGGGATGGCTAGCGCAGATAGCCCTCGTGTTGCTTTGCGCGAAATTCAAAACAAACAAACAAACTAAATGTTTTCCTGCAGTGAACCCCTACTGTGATTATTCCACACGTAAGCTGTTGCCTGCAACACACAAAGATGCGATACTTACCACACAGAAAAGTATGGTTATTTATGAATTCTCGTGCCACTGCGAATGTCGGTACGTGGGTCGCACTTCACAAAGATTACAGGATAGAATTAAACAACATGTACCCACATCCATAAGAAATACTAGTGTGAAAGCAAAGAATTCACCATGTCGTTCCTGTA